GTGCCGTGCTGCTCTCGGGGCTGGTGCCGTGTTACCAGGACCGTGTATTGATTGGGTTCGCTGCCGACGCGTGATGCAGGGCACAAATGAGAAATTGAACTTTCTGAATGTGAAGTAAATCGTGCTGCTGCTGATACACAAGTGATTTGGGGACAAGCAATCAATCCAAGTCTCTGTTCTGGTAGCAGTGCTACATACGATTTAATACACAGCGGAACAACGGTGCTGGTGGAATCTAAATCAAACAGCGGTTTGTGCTGAGCTCCGACTCGTGCAGAAACGACTTGGAGCATTTTGGGTTTCGTGTGCTTTACTTTCTATGTTAGTGACATGTGATCTGATAATTTAGAAATATTCAGCTCGCATTCATTAATTCTGCCTTTTCCTTGTCAAAAACAACAGATTATCTTTTCTAGACTGCTTGCTGCTGTTTCGAATTGGTTGCTCTTCAGAAAGCTTGTAAGTAGAGTTGTGCTGAATCCCAGTACTTGCAGATGGAGTTTATTACAGCCACAGGTAATTGGACTTTAATATCTTTAAAAAAAATCCACTAGAGACATGGACAGGCCCATTCTGTCTTCTGGCAGATGTTTTGCAGGTGTGAGACTTACACCCGATCACCTTTGGGTGCTGTTGCAGTACACGATAGGACGCATCTGCAAAGGGCTGTAAGATTCTTCTCAGTCCCCCTCCGTGTTGTAAAATGAATGGCATAGTTCATCCTTCTTGGAAAGAGAGAGAAGTATTTTAATGCAAGCTTGAAGACGCTTCCTGAAATTCTTTGTCTGATACCTTCTGACGAGTCTTCTCACCCGGTGTAAAAGCCTTGGCTTCACACCTCCCAGCGCAAGTGCCCTGAGGAGCGGGGGGTTCTGCGCAGGCTCCCCAAGAGCTGCGTGGTGCGGAACCTGCGGTCTGGGCTCCGGGCTGAGGTGCTCAGAGGAGTTCAGCTCTCGCAAGAAGCGGTTGTCGGTGTTTGCTTAGCGTGAAGGCTGTGAGAGTGCAGGGAGAAGCTGAACCACGTCCTCCTGGTAGAAGGTTGGCCGTCCGCCTTCGCTGCTGGAACCCTGGGGTGATCAGACGGTGCAAGGCCAAACGTGTCTATTGGCGGTTGGGCAGAAAAGTTCCACTAACAGATGTTCTAAAAAAAGAAAATAAAATCAACAGCCGTTTGAGCTTTTTAGAAATGTATTTTCTCTTACACAAAAAAGTGGTTTTTTGCTTGCTGTAACTTACTTTAACATTTATTTTTCATAAAGCAAAAAAAAAAGATTGACTTCATAGTTATGAAATTTAATAGTTAAATAATCTCAAAATTAAATAGATTAGTTTGATTAATCCCACCAAGTTCAGCAAATGGTGTTAGAATCTGGAACTTGCTGTTGGAGGGCAGGGTAGATTCGAGACAGAATGTCAGCAAAACGCAGCACTGTCATGAAGTGAGAGTGAACTCTCACAACCAGGTATGTAATATTATTCTTTCCAGACTCTCTAAGGATATTCTTTTATATTTTTCGTAACATATGCTTGCTTTTACATCTTAAGATCAGCCAATTTACTTGGTTTTCTTCATTTTATTTTAGATTTCTTTGTCTTTTTCTCCCTGAAAGCCTAGAGTGAGACTTGACAAATATAAAGTGGTGATAGACAAGGAGACAGAATGAAGCTGTCTGCCTTTTTTCTGAAGATGGACTTGTGAGCAGAAAAGTAAAAGATACCATGACAACCTGATGAATTTCAGGGCTGCAGAATCTGCACACATTCCTCATACCACGTTACCCGTGGAAAAATGACCAAAGAGCTTACTGCACTCAAAGAACGATGTGTGCTCCACACAAATACTGCAACAAACGTGTTTTGGAAAAATGACCAAAGAGCTTACTGCACTGAAGGAAGGATTTGTGCTCCACACAAATAACTGCAACAAACGTGTTCGGTTTAACTGTTGTGTTGGAGTGGGCCTGTCTTGTTGGGAACGCGGGCATTGATGGCCTCCATCCACGTGCCATTGGTCTTCCTGGAAGAGCACCTTTTAAAGCAGATGAAGCAGATCTAGCAGTACTTAAAAATCTAGTATCCTGCAGGGAGTAGAAACAACTGGTCAGCAGCCAGTGCCCCAGTGCTAACAGTGATTTCCCTCCCTGTCGAACGACTGCTGCTCCGCTGGGAGAAGGTCCACGGGTGGGTGTGGTGGAGTGGTCCTGTGGCCGTCAAAGAAAGGGCAGAGAGCCTTTTTCAGACTCTCAGCAAGTAACATACAATAAATGCAAAGATTGTGATATTTATGAGATTCTTTCACAGATAGTCAATATAGAGGAATATAGCCAATTTTTTGTGATGGCACTGTCCAAACAGAGGAGGGAAGCTAAATATTAATGGGAAGCTATTAGTCCAAATTATGTTCAGTTATTGCTTTGGTGATTCTCCTCTTGGTGAAACAAGAGAGAAAGTATAAGGGGAAGCAAATTGGTAACGACTGATGCAAGTTATTTGTTGATGTGAATTTAAACTGTTTCTTAAGGAGTTCTGGATATGCCAAAAGCATGTAATACTCCATATTGTAGAGCTTTTTTTCCCTTAACTGTTGAAGATTATTTAGAAGATACAAACCTCTTTGGTTGATGTCACCAGCTACAGCTAGTGAGCTCTGGAGTAAATGGAAAGAGTAAGGAAGAACTTATTTCACAAAAAATAAAAAAACCAATCTATTCTCTCATCAGTTTTGCTGTTAATGTCAGCAGCTTGGAAAGAAGAGCAGGTTCCATCTTGAATTCTTGATCTTGATGAGCTGTTCAAAATCTGTCCTGTGTGAATGAGGCAGCTCTGGTTCCTGAAACTAGTTTTCCTTTTTCTGCTCTCAAACCACTTTAGATTTCCTGCTAGCCCCGTGAAGAACACAGTGAGAGAGTCACGTATACAAAAACTGGGATTGCTAGAAGAATGTAACTACCAAAATACTTTAAAACTTACTGTACGTTGGATAGATTGTTATGGTGGTTTCAGTGTTTTACAGATTATTGGTTTCATATCTTCAAACTCACTTGCCTTTTGCTACTGCTGTGCACTTGGATTATGCAGGGGTTGTCAAAACTTAATGATGTGGGGAAGGAGTTTTACGGTTTCTAGGTTATCACAAAGTACAGAATCTGCGTTGCTCCTTGAATTCAAGTGCTATTTGAACACTCTGAAATGGTGTTTGGTATAGACATTTGTCCTTTGTCTGTGGGGGAGAGCTTAAAATCGAGGTCAAATAATACATCTCATTTTATTAGGTCTGTTTCCCAAAAGGTCGCAACCATCAGTCTGTCGCGGAGTTGTTCTTTTCATTTTCAGTTTTCAACAACAAAAGCCTTTAGGAGGCTACAAGGCTTCAGGAATACCTTATGTCCTGGTTTGGTAGCAGCTTGATGCCTGGTGTCTGCGGATCAGTTCCGTGTACCAGCTCTGGAGCGTGCAAGTTGGCTTGGCTGCCGTTTGGTGAACTCGGATTCATATTTCATGCGTATGATTTATGACTGTGTGAACATGTGCTGTCTTCTGGGTTTAGTTTGGGGTTTTTTGTGAGTGGTGGGGGTTTTTTGTTTCGTTGGGTTTTTTGTGGGTGTTTTTCTGCCCTCCAGAGCAATGGCTGTTGCATCTGCTATAGTTGCTCCTTCCAAGGGCATCATTGAATGTGGCTGGGTTTTATTGCATTCAGGCCATTTTCAGAAAAAGAATGATGATGTTTTTGCAAGTGAAATCTAAATGGGTTTGAACTAGAGTTTGTCTTTTCATCCCTAGTCAGATTATAAACTACAGACCAAATATCGTGAGGTAACGGTACGCTGAACTCCTCCCGTACCCGTATTACTCTCGCTGGCCTCTTTCCTTGCTGATCATGGTGCACGAGACAGAAAAGCATCTCTTCCCGGCCTCTCCCGGTGACCTGGGCACGTTACTGTCACCGGGGCTGAGAGGACAGCAAACCCACACTAGTTCATCCAGCCTTGGGGCAAAAGTTACTTAGGCAGGATGTACAGCTGCCGTCTAGATGTGGGATGTGGGTAGTCTGGATTTGTGTTTAAAGGTTTGCTTGATTGATACACTGATATAATACATCTTTTAAAAAAAGTGTAAAATACACCTAGGATTGCCATTTAAAATTGTATTTAGCATTACCTGTGTCTGTCTGTCTGTTTATATCTGTTATGTCATTAACAGTTTAGTTTCAGAAATACATTTGAAGTCAATTTCTGAATTAATTCTCCGGACCGTTCGCCGTGGCGTCAGAAGAGACGCGTGTTCTAACTGCGGACTCCTGTTTTTGTAGATGGCTATACAACAGATGACATTGAGTTTTACTGGCGTGGGGGTGACAACGCCGTCACGGGAGTGACAAAGATCGAGCTGCCGCAGTTCTCCATCGTAGACTACAAGCTGATCACCAAGAACGTTGTTTTCTCTACAGGTTGGTGGGGGGGAAGCTGAACGGGGAACTCACTGGGAAGACGTGGAGAAATGGGTTAATTCTCAAGGTGCAGCTCAGGATCGGAGCGAAAATTTAGAAATAGGAATAGATTAGAGCAGCAACTCTGAGTTTTGAAAGGAGCAGCTTTTATTACAGCTGACCACAGTGTGTAAGGCCTCGCTCATTAACATACGAGGAGGATACGGCAGTCTTGTGGGGGGGCTCGGTCACATCAGCTGTGTTTGCTGTTTGCCTGTGAAAACTGATGAAGCCGCTTAGACACCGCAGCACCCTAAACCCCACAAGAAGTACCCCAGCCTGTAGGAAATTTAGGAACCTTTCTCTCATCGTTTCTAGATGTTCCTTGTGCCAGGCTGGGGATGTATTAGACTGACTTTTGTCTTCGCTGTAAAACCTGTAAAATCCTTGTTCCACAGGATTTGTGGTTTAGCCTGTGCTAGCAAGCAGATGACTGTCTACAGGCTGAGAAGGTGCTTTGCATGGAGGAGTAGAAAATAAGACTGGATTTCATAAAATAAAGAACAAAACAAGAAACAACTAGAACATTGTAATGGCATAGTAAATCACTCAAGAGAGACGAGTTGGGTCGGGCTGTTACAATGTGATGTTCTCTACCTACCTGAGAAAGCTGCGAGATGTGTTTAAAAGAAAAAAAAATTCAAAACTCACTTTCTGGATATGGATAGAAATGGTCTTTGGAGGGAGTATGGAAGGACTGTGAAACCCAAATTCTCCAAAACCAAGCAGAAATAGGACTTGGCTGATGTTGGCTAGGCATGCCTTCCAGCAAGTGCTTGGCACGCCGGAGCAATTCTGGTGTCCAGCGGCAAAGGGCGCGTGTTGGCTTGCTGGGAGAGAAGGTGTGAGGAAGGGTCACGCTGAAGCAGGCACAGCACAGCTTGTCAGGGGAGAAGCTTTTCTGTGTTTTGGCGCTCTGAGATGTGTTTGGGCTGTTGGTTGTTGAATCTGACGATTACCAGCAGATACATGCTTAGAGCATCCTTGTTCCATTAGAATAAAAGATTATTTATTCCGAGTTCTTGCTAGAAATTCTGCAGCTGCTTATCCTGGAGCTTGCAACTCTATGTCTACTCTGTGTTGTGTGAAACAACAAAACCAAAATGACAGAAAAATGTTTACAGGCTTTATACAAGTGAATTATGGCCAAACCTAATATTCTCTTTTAGGTGCCTATCCGAGGCTGTCTCTCAGCTTTAAACTTAAGAGAAACATTGGTTACTTCATTCTGCAGACCTACATGCCTTCTATTCTGATCACTATCCTGTCCTGGGTTTCCTTCTGGATTAATTATGACGCTTCAGCTGCCAGAGTTGCTTTAGGTAGGCATTTTTACACGTCTTGGGCAGTGTGCGTTAGCTGAATGCTTTTTCTTTCTTCTGGCGTAGTGGGTAGTGCATGACTTGAAAAATAAATCTGTTAGATCTTTTTATGTCTGGCTTGTTAAGCTTTGTATTATTTGAATCGGCATTTAAATCATCACAATTTAAATAAAAATTAAAGTGATTTCATGTCTGAATTAGCCAACTGTATAATCTTTGTACCAGAATTAGCCCAATTGTCGGAGTGTTTTCTGCTGTTGTAGTACTGCTTGTTTTGCTCCAGAGAGAATGCATTTCGCTTGCTTTTGCCCATGGCTGACCAAAGTGCACATTCAGCACTGTGCTAGGGATTATAAATGGCTTTTCCTTTCAGGTATGAATTAAATAAAGTTTTACTAGGGTTGTGTAGCTAACTTCTGAGGTTGAGGGCTTGCTTCCTTGCTGTTACCTTACATTCTGAAAGCAAAACCGTTTCTCTAATTAATCTCTGGACTATTACATCTCGTCACTAAACCCGTGTGCGTGTTTGTACTCGGCCCCTCGTCAGAGGATCCAAGCACATTACAAAAATAAATATGAGCAGCTGTTGCCAAATTTCTCATAACTCAGACACATCCCTGCCAGTACAGCTCTCATATCAATAAAACAAGTAAATCACCATAAAAGATACAACTGAGAATTTGGCATTTGAACTCGGTAGCATACCGTCCCGAGTTCTACCAGCCCTGTCTGCGTAGCATTTTCCCCGTAAGAAGTCAAGACTGCAGACGTCCGGAAAGTGCTGGAGGGAAGCAAGGAAACGGTGCCTCTAGGCCGGTAACCTGTAACTGGGACTCGTTAGAGAAGCGTACGGCTTAGCTGGTTAAAAACGTACTCATAGAATCCAACTACTTTTTGTTTGGACACAATTTATTACAGGTGCAATTTTCTTTGCTGTACAAAAACATAAAGACAAAGATAGGGAATATGGGCAGAGGTTGGGGGTGGGGTATTTTTTCCACTGGGAAAAAAAAATCTCCTAGAATTTTTCGGCACTAGCATTGGAAAATTATGAGCTATTTTTCTAGAAAATTAAAATTAATTCAGTCAATAGATGTAATAGACCTGTCAATTCTTTTTTCCAGGAATCACAACCGTGCTCACAATGACAACGATTAACACCCATCTTCGAGAGACTCTTCCCAAAATTCCCTATGTGAAAGCCATCGACATGTACCTTATGGGGTGTTTTGTCTTCGTTTTCATGGCTCTGCTGGAGTATGCCTTGGTCAACTACATCTTCTTTGGCAGGGGACCTCAACGTCAAAAGAAAGCGGCAGAAAAAGCTGCCAGTGCCAACAACGAGAAGCTGCGAATGGACGTCAATAAGGTAAATTGAAACGGGGGTACGTGTTTAGCGTTGCCCCAGGGGTGCTGGGGCAGAGGCTTCTGCCAGACAGAGCTTTAAGATGTAATTGCTTGTAGAAAAAGGGTGGAGTGGGATGGCGATGACCTTGTCTCAGGCAGCTCAGCTGTGAAAGCTGCCCTCTAGCCTGGAGAACTGGAGGGCTTCTTCCTAAAGCATGCGCGCGGTTAAGCTTGCCCGTGAGGTGTTTCCTCAGTCAGGGTGCAGAGTTAAAGCTGTTGAATCTGTTTCCAAAGGAACAAATCCAAAATGATGGCTGTAGCTGATATTCTAGTAAGAGCTGTATGGAACGTTGGAAAGAAAACCCGAGTTTAGCCTGCTTTCATAAATCTTTCGGATGACCAGGATAAGAAATATTTGCTACAGAAGTGTTTAAAGCTTGAAAAGTTTGCGTGTTTTCAATAGATAATGGCCCAGGATATTGTTGACTAAATGAGAAACCGCTCCAAAATAAAGCAGCAACTTGCTGTGCACTTAATTTTGAATCTAAAAGCGGTCCCCTGGGGGTGGAGAATTGAGGCAGAAAATACATTTGCCAAGATACACACTTCGGGGAAAAAGTATCCATTATGCTTAATGAAAATGGAGCACTTCTCATAAAGCACTTGTCATTTTTCACTTTGACCGTTTTGGAGGCAGATCTGGGCTGAATGCTAAAATGTACTCAGTGTGAAATGTATAAACTTTCACATGCATGCAAAATTGGAAAGTAAAATAAAGTGGAATGCTTTTTGAATTTGTAATTCAGCATGATACTCCAAGGGGAAAAAATCAAAATCAGAATTTAAGAAAAAGAATCTAAAGCAGAAAAAGCCAAGTGACTATTTGTGTAGTGGAAACAGAAGTTTCATACAGCTCTAGTGGTGGAATTTCTCATGTTTGTTCGGAACTTCTATACTCCCATAGTGTGCCTGTGGACAGAAGAACGTTTTGTTCCCTTTTTGCTGGAACAACAAAAATAGATCACATGTTGATTGCATAAATCAGTTTTATAGGTTACAGTGTATAGTCTTTTAAGATGGAGGATTATATTGTCACGGCTCAGCTCTCACCCATTCATTAATTTGTTTTTTTCTTTTTAGTTTGAGAGAAACCTGAATGAAGGCAAATGCATAGTGATGAGATCAGTTTTGATGCTATGGTACCACAGATCACATTTAAACGTTGTAAAGTTCATGAAGATTCTGCAAAATGTGTTTTTTTTTTCTATTGGTGATGTTTCAGCAGTATAAAAGTTGCAAGGTTTTATTGACTTTGTCAAGTTTATTTTTTAAAAATCAGTTTCCTTTTAAACAATCAAAGTTACCAGCTAAGAAACCCTGTAGGTAACTTTATGAGACTGGATCTATGTTTACCTGAAGTCTTTGCTCTAGCATCCGTGGAAATTTAAGGTCCGTAGGTGCCGGAGCATCGCCCCGAGCCAGGCTGGGTGTTTGTGCTCCGTTTCACTCGTGATATTTTCTGTGTACTGATTCATGCAGGGGAGCTTTGGCCGTGTAGCAGAATGGCCAAAGCCTAGTGGCAAGCTGCTACGGGTGAGCTGCAATTTGAAAGCACTGATTAGGGTACTAATCCAGCCCAGTAAGCAGAGTAAATTAACTCCCGTACTGCTGCAGACATTCAGCAGCCTCTGCAGAATTACCACAGAGTATACTGGGAACAGCTTTACATTATTGATACTTTTTTATACTGAGCCTTTTGCTGAATATAGCAGGCCAGCGTGGTTCATAGTCTGTGGCAGTTGCTCTGGTGTCCAGATGCACTCTGATGTGAGAATCAGGTTTGCAGTCCCTTAAGCAACGGGCGGAGAATCCAACGGGAGAGGATCAGAAAAGCGTGGTGACGGGAGAGCGTGGTCCTGCTGCGCCGGGGAGGGGCAGAGGAGCTGGCAGCTGCGCTCGCTGTCTGACCGGCAGCGAGAACGCAGATGCATATTTCATGGGCCCGAAGATTTTATCTATGAAAGGGGGCCAAATATTATATAATTATTCTCACGTACAAGAATCAAAAATGGGTCTGAACTGCCAAATTTGGTTGAGGTGCAGGTTTCCGTGAAAACCCAGGTGTTTCAGAAGGGGGACCAAACAAACTCCATCTCTAAGTACGATCCAGCACTGAAGGACTACTTTTACAAAGTACGTGTACTTTGTGATACTACTAGACTTCTCTTGTATCACTACATGGAATACTATGAATTTACGTTTGCGACTTCAGATACTGCGTGAGAAAAGATTAATGCCATGAGCGATAAACCTCGAAACATAAGGGTGAGAACTTCTTTACGCTCTGCTACTGCATTCAGCCTAGACTTTGCGCAGAAGGTGGGTGAGTAGTTACTGGAGCTGCTGCTTGGAGTGCAGCATCGTTGTTTATCCATTGCAGACCAGCAAATCTACACTAGGTTTCTGCAGATTCCGACACCTGTGTTTGTAACAGCCTCTTACAGCTTTGCTGAACGACACAAGGTGGTGAGAGGAGAAGTGCTGGTTCATCCTTCCATCCACAGCTACTTGCCAAATCAAAGTAGAAGTGAATACATACTCCCTTTATGCCGTTGAATTCTCTGGTATGGAGAGATTCCAGGGCAGGCACAGACATGGACGGTCTCTATTTTTGCTCAGTGTTAGTCAGAAGGTGCTAGAGAGCCTACAAAATGGTGCAGAAGCACAACAGAAGCTGTTCTTCCATGGCTGTGGTATCTGCTGAATCCAGTGTAATCCCTTGGAGATTTGGTGACTCAGGAGGAGAATGTCCTGGTTTTTCCATCTGAGCGAACACCAGGCTGGCTGCAGAGCTTCCCCTGGGCTATCCCAGATGAAACTGTGGCCAAATCTTTCTTTAAGTTTCATATTGTATTCATGTCAGGTGCCCAGTGAATGTGGTGGGTTTGGTTTTTTTTGGGTTTTATAGAATCATAGAGTAGTTTGGGTTGGAAGGGACCTTTCAAGGCCATCTAGTCCAGCCCCCCCACAGTGAGCAGGGACATCTCCAACTGGGTCAGGGTGCTCGGAGCCCTGTCCAGCCTGGCCTTGAATTTTCCCAGGGATGGGGCATCGACCACAGAATCACAGAATCACAGAATAGTAGGGGTTGGAAGGGATCTCTGAGGGTCATCTAGTCCACCTCAGTTTGTGCCCATTGCCCCTTGTCCTGTCACTGGGCACCACTGAAAAGAGCTTGGCCCCATCCTCCTGACCCCCACCCTTCAGATATTTGTAGGCATTTATAAGGTCCCCTCGCAGCCTTCTCTTCTCCAGGCTGAACAAGCCCAGCTCCCTCAGCCTCTCCTCGTAGGGGAGATGCTCCAGTCCCCTCATCATTCTTGTAGCCCTCTGCTGGACTCTCTCCAGTAGCTCTTCATCTTTCTTGAACTGGGGAGCCCAGAACTGGACCACCTCTCTGGGCAGCCTGGGCCAGGGCCTCACCACCCTCATCTTAAAAAATTTCTTCCTTCTATCCAGTGTGAATCACCACAGAAGATTGTAACTTCAGATTTGGGGTGAGAGGAAGGGAGAGAGGGGACTGGGGCTGTATCTTGATTTGCTGCTGGAATTCTGAAACCGGAGTAATAAAATCATGGAGGAATTTAAAGGACATAAAACTCAAGGAAGATTCAGACTTGACTACCAGCAGATACATTGTGATAGACTCGTGACATCATGTCGCACGTGCTCAGTTTTTATGGTCGTTCCGCTCTTGCAGCTTCTCGAGCTGCGTTCAGCAGTTTGTTCCTTCAGTCTAACTTCTCACCTTCTGCCTGTGTCGAGGCCAGTTGGTCTCTGTGTAAACAGCCGTAATGTTGCTTACAGGTAGATTGCTGGCTTCCTTCTTGCTCTGGACATCATTTATTGGAGACAGCGTTCACATCATTGCCTCACCTCTCTTTTCAAGCCTGTCATCTTATCTTACGCTGTTTCTTCAGATGCCTTTATTATCTTTATAAGCTGGAGTTTTTGAATCTCTTCTCTTCTGAACGCCTTAGTACTGCAAGTGTATCGAGGAGGATGGGTAAACTGGAGTGTTGTAGTTCTGCTTGAAGACCTGGTGTGTGTCAGAAAGCGTGGTACGTGGACACTCTGACGTAACGCAGCTTTGTTGCATGGACTCTCCTCGGTTAAATAGGAATGTTGGTGGCCATCAGCATCCTTTCGATCCCTGCTAGGCACATTTCGTGCTGCCTTTTCTTTAGGCTCAGGGCACTAACCTAATGTATTAGCTGTGCTTCTGCCAGATGATTACCAGATATGTTAAAAAATAGGGCTGAATTCCAACCTCTGGCTTCACGATATCATTCCGCTGGCTGTCTTCCTGTGGGTAATTGGACATATATCTGGGATGTATCATCCCTGCAGTTTTAAGATAATGTGCCAAAGGTTTACCGAAATCCATAAATTTCATCTGTTAATTTTGTAACTACGTAGCAATGGTCTGGAAGGAATTGGTCTAGAGGCTTCTGTGAGGCTTTTTTTCTCCCAATTGTAATTTTGGTTTCTGATTCCTTTTGGGGTAGAAGGGGAGGGGGGGAGGGAAACAAGCTACCCTGATAGAACCCTTCGAGTTTTCTTCTTCATGAAGCCTGGCTTTGTCTTCAAGAAGATTAGCCTGACCAGGATCTCAGTGTAGAGACCGGTACAGCTGTGACTGATTTCTGATCTTCACCCCCAGCCATTCTAATATGTCGTTTCTGTTACTGCAGTTCAAATAATGAGCTTCTTGGTGCCCTCTCAGTACTGATTTATTCCCCAGAAGTTTCTTCCAGAATCCAGTAGCCTAGGTGGTTTTGATTAATTTTTAAATTTTCTCTTACTTTGTTGGATCCAATGATTTTACCTTGGATGTTTCCAACTTGGAACTGTGGCTGATGCTGATCACTGTGATGTGTCTGATGCATCTTCTAGTCTTTGTGTCTTCAGGAGTTGCAGTCGGATGGCCTCCAAGCTCTGATTTTCACCATATTTTCCTGT